TTGAACGAATCATAAAAATCAGTTATTGTATTATACCTTAATACAGTGATACCACCAGGGCCTGCTGAAGTTTACATATTGCCTATATTAAATGATTTCATCTTGCTGTTTCCCTGAAGTCCGTTTGCTGTCATTTCACACTGTGGTGAAAATACTTGTCTCTATCAGCTCCTGTTCCAATAGGATTTTATTGAATGTCCTTCTAATACAGGTCCACAGATACAGATCAGAAAATCAACATGGCTACAATAGTATTAGAACAAGACTACAATGATTCTGAGGGGATTTCACACAGGCTTCTGTGTCAGTAAATTTTGTGAATTTTATAAATATAGCAGCAACACCTGTTTTGATTGGTTAAATTATTTTGATCCTGTTTCTGGTTCTCAGTATGTTCTGGAGAGATGTGGCTCCAGGATTCAGATGACAGACCCAGAGCCAACTGGGATACACCATGCACCATTCTGCTCTTTCTTTGATTATGGTAATTTTAGTTTGACCAGGACTATTTTAGGCATATGCTTTTAGCATTCATGCATTTTATCGCATTTGATCCCCAGAAGATCCTTTTGCAGCTGATATATTATCTGAATTTTACAGGTAATAGAAGAGACACGCAAAAGGTTAATGGGCACATCTAAGGTCACACAGTCAGTAAGTAAATGAGTCATGCTGAAAATCAGATGTCTTCACTCAAAATCCAGTGTTCTTTCTTCTATCCCACACTTCGCTCCATATAATTTTTGTGTGAGAAAACTGTATTTGTCTAAACCACTGTTTTTTCAAACTACAGGTTGAAACTCACTAGTTGGTCATAAAATCAATTGAGTGAGGGCCAAGCGGCATTTGAATAGAATGGAATGGAATGAAATAGAATAGAATAGAATAGAATAGAATAGAATAGAATAGAATAGAATAGAATAGAATAGAATAGAATAGAATAGATGAGTATGACATGTCAGAGTGTCAGTATTGTTTCTTGAAACTTGTTTCTCAGGTCACAATGTAAAATATTTTTCCTTCCTTTCTTTCTTTCTTTCTCTGTCTTCTTTCTTCTTCTTTCCTTCCTTCCTTTCTTTCCTTCCTTCCTTCCTTCCTTTCTCTTCCTTCCCTCTCTCCCCCCTTTCTTTCTTCTTTCCTTCCTTCCTTCCT